TCTCACATGTATGTTTTGGCTTAATTACATACACCATCCTCCTTCGCATTAGAACCACTACCCTTACTCTGAGGAGCCTTAACTCTATATATAGCTAGAGCAGAATGTTTAGGAGTAGGTGCTTTGATCATGACTTCTATGCTCCTCACTATGAACTAGAGAGTAGTTTGGGAAAGAGACAAATCACCATGCCTGAGAATATGCTGCCTAGTAATATTGTACTCTTGATTCAAGTTGGCCAGGGATTGAAAAGTCATGTTCCTTTCCACCAACTTCCTGTGTGTTTGCATCTTCCTTACATTTCCATTGTGGCTAATCAATTTGTAGAAGAATGGTTTAGATTAATGTCTCATACATTTAGTAATGGGGTTGTTTCTATCATTGTATCTCTCAATACACAGACACACACATACACTAGTAAAGTAGCACTTGTATTACACCAGGGAAATATTTCATTTCGTTTCATTCTTTATTTCATTTTGTTTAAGTTGTCATGACAATGTTTTCATTTGTTGTTTGATCATTAGACGTGATTATGAGAAGCTTTGCACTTCTCTTCCTATAATGTTGAGTTTGATTATGGATCTGTGGGTGGGTGAAACTCCATCCTTTTCTACTATTCATTGGAACTGGGGCTTTTGAAGGAATTTGAGAGTTTTAGAGGTGAGATTTGTGTCACAATTGTTATAATTGCTGGACGGGGTTTATATTGATAACAGTAAAGTGGATAGCCAATTATGGACTGGTCATCCTTCTGGGGCTTTCTCTATTGTTCCTTTTTTAATGTGTTGGTTTCTTCTTCTCAGTCTCCTTGCATTTCTCAGTCAGAGAAGTTTGGTGTTGTCCAATCCCCCCTAGGGTGAGTGCTTTTTGTTGGGAGATTTTCCCATGGTGCAATTAACACATGTGACTTATTACAGAGAAAGAGATCTGGCTGGTGTCTATCCCCAAATTGGTGTTCTGTGTGAATCACCTTTGATTTAAAAAGGAAATTAGGGAGTGGTGGGAAGAAAGCAGTCAAAGGGTTAATTGGGAGGACATGAAGTTCCATTAAAAGCTAAAGGGTTTGAATGGTAAAATAGCAGATTGGAATATTCGACAATTTGGGAGATTAGAGGAGAGAAAGCAAGAGGTGATCAATCAAATCGAGGTTTGGATGCTAAAGAAGCTGAGGGCACTTTTGGAGAAAGTGATAAGGAGAAGAGATGGACCTCATGGAAACAATTGGAGGATATTTTATTGAAAGAAGAAATAAGTGGAGCCAAAATTCTAGACACAAGTGGGTAAAGGAAGGGGGTAGAAACACAAAATTCTTCCAAGCTCTAGTGAATAGTAGGAGGAAAAATTTCATCTCAAAGCTAGAATTGGATGGAATAATAGTTACCCAATAAAGTGAAATTGCTGAGCTTTTGTGGACCATTTTGAATCCATTTTTAGAAGACACCTGAATGAGAGATTAAGATTAGAAGGATTAGATTGTCCAAGGTTGTTGGCAGATCACAAGGATTGGTTGGAAAGAAGGTTCTATATGGAAGAAATAAAGGAAGTTGTGTTTTCAATGGATAGAGCTAAAGCATCGGGGCTGGATGGGTTTACAATGGCTTTTTATCAAGATTGTTGGGACATTTTAAAAGATATGATGTACTGAGTTTTTTAATGAGTTTTTTTTGGAAGAGGGATATTAAATCCTGGACTGAATTCCACTTTCAATGCTTTGGTCCCAAAGAGACTGGATGCAAATCAACCAAGACAGTTTAGACCCATCAACTTGGTTAATAGCTTCTATAAAATTGTTGCAAAGGTGCTTCCTTGAGGATTAGATCTGTGCTTTCCTTATATGGTCTACTCAAATCAAGGGGTGTTTGTTAAAGATACACAGATTATTAATCAGATCTTAGTTGCTAAGGAGAGTGTTGAGGAGCTTAAAAGAATTGGAAAAATGGGCATAGTCTGTAAGCTTGATCTTGAAAAGTCCTATGATTTGGTGGACTAGTCCTTTGTATTAGAAGTGATGAGAAATTATGGATTTGGAGTTAAGTGGTGCAAATGGGTTCAAGGATGTATTAGAACTTGCCACTATTCAGTTTTGGTGAATGGGACTATAGTGGATCACTTTCCAGCTAGTAGAGGAATTAGACAGAGAGACCCTCTTCTCTTTTTCTATTTACCTTGGTTGCTGATGTCTTAGAGAGATTAATATATAGAGCACACTTGAGAGAGTTGGTGACAGGGTAGAGAGTGGGAAGGAATGGAGTGTCTATCATCCTTTTGCAGTTTGCTGATGATATAGTATATATTCTGTGAGGGAGATGATCTCAAATTGGTAAGAAACATGAAATTGGTGGTTCAACTATTTGAGCAAATGTCAAATTTGAAAATCAATTTTAATGTGAGTTGTGTAGTGGGAATTAATATGGATGAAAGGGAGATGTCAAAATGTTCAACTATTTTGGGAAGTGAAGTTTCACATTGGCCTATGAATTTCTTAGGCCTTCCATTGGGAGATAATCTGAGAAATGGAAGCTTTTGGAACCTTGTGGTGGATAGATTTACAAAGAGATTAGCCTCCTGGAAAAGGAATTATTTATCTTTGGGAGAAAGAATTACTTTGATCAAGTCGACTTTGGCCAATCTGCTTGTCTGTTTTTTATTGGTTTCCAAAATTCTAGTAGGGGTTTCCAGAAGGTTGTAGCATGAATTTAACATGGTCTCGTGGGTGGTATATCTACATTTTTTTTTATGAATGAATAAGATTTTATTAAAGAATTATTTATCAAAAAAAGTTTTTATTAAAGAATGATCAAGAGGTTAAGTCATTACAGGCTACCCATGGAGGGGGGCACAAGCTGCTACCTCTCCTAAAAAACAAGAATGGAGTATTACTTCAGACTAAAACAAAAAGTTACAGAGCTGCCCAAAAAAATTGTTCCCTTGAGGCCCCTTGCTTAGCTAACCCATCCGCTAAGGTATTTGCTGTTCTGCCCACCCATTGTGAGGTAATAGTCATGCTCCTTGAAAACCAATTAACTTTCCTCAAAAGGTCCCTGTAGCACCATATAACTGAGCCTGGATTTGTCAGCCATCCCACAACAACTTTGGAGTCTCCTTCAATTACCAGGTTATGTTGGTATATCTACCATAATGCCATAGATTATCCCACATTTGTTGCAAGCTGATATGTAGAGGGGAACTATATAGATATATAGATCATGGTGAAAACATGGTTGCTTAGAATCATACCAGTGAGACCAGTGGGAGGTACTCAGCTGCAAGTGCATGTAGTTCTGGGTTTAAGAGTTCTCCCAATTAAGCTTTTCCTTTGTTATGTATGCATCTATATTTGGTCAGTAAAAATAATTAGAATGATGAACTTGTTGTAAAAGTGATTGTAATGTAAGGGTTAAGGTGTCCACTGAGATTGGTCCAACAAAGATATTATAACAATTACTGATAAACACATTTAGCTGTGTGTTTTAATAGACCCATATTACCTTTTGCCAACACTTTGCCTGCTATGATACAACAGATGCAGAACATCAAAATGAAGGTTCCTATCATCTCCATTAAAACTTGTGAACCCATAAGCTCCATTTAACACAGGGATAGAGAGGTATGTGCTAGGAACAAAAATAGTCTTTGTACATTTAATCTTGTTTTACAATGCAAATGGAACTTAGAGTGATTTGACATGAGAAGCAATGACCAGTTGTGCTCTCTGTAGTTACATCTCAATTACTACTTATGATAGTATGGGCTCCTTTACTCATCCCATATTAGCTTCTACACTGGAAACTCAGTGTTCTACACAATGGCAACCACCAGACTTGTTCTAAATATTAACTTTATTAATAACTTAGAATAAAACATGAAAACACATTACTTTTGGGCTCAAATATTCACATATAAACATTAGAAATGAAGGTTACTAAATTCTGTGCAAAATTTGCGTGTAAAATATACCACAATAAGTAATTGATCAAAAAAAAAAAACCACAATAAGTAGGACAAAAATTAAACCAACAATTAAACATTGCTCTTATGATGTAAAAGGAAATGGGAACCATAACAAAAGCAGGCAGAAGAACAAAAAAATATCACAACAAATAAATAAAAAATTGAACCAACAATTAAACATAAGTCTTATAAAAGATTAATTTGTAAGAAAGGTGTTCATGGAGCTAGAGGAAAGAGACTGAAATAGAGATGTTGAAATATCATAGTTAAATTGAGCAAGAATGGAGGGAGAACTTCTATTAAATTTGGGGAAGTTGATGTTATAGCTGCTAATACCAAGTAGGCATGATCTTGGTTAAGGAGTTGGTGAGTAGATAATCCTGAGCATAGAAAGGTAGAGTCTGATTAGGGTGCTGCTGCTGTTGGAATACAAATGATTTCAGTTCTGTCCTATTAATTTTGTGAGGGTTTTGTTGAAATCATAGGGGTTACAATCTTTTGTTGAGAAGTCATTGTTTCCATGTTTCTTCTATCTCTATTGGTGATATTTTATTCACCTATCATTGTACCTTACTATTTTAGTAATTGTTTTTTTTTTTCTTTTGCTATAATAAAAAGGAGTAATACTGTGTTATTGCCCCAGCCACCTAAAGTGCTGTGCAAGTCATCCTAGAGTGTACTCTCTGGGGTAGTAACTGTTTATAGGTCAACCTTGTTAATCCCTTCTTCCACCAGGGAAATTTCTAGCTCATTAACTGACATGGAGAAGCTAAAGTGCAATCCTTTTGGAAGCTTCGACAGCTCATCTCGTGTTAAGTTCCTATTTCCTATTGGTCCAGAATTGGTCATTAAGATTTCTCCAGATTGATTTTAAAGATCTCCTATCCCCTATCTCCCCGATCTCCCATCTATGTTACCTGGATACCTGTAGAATGGTGCTGTATTGTGTTGGGTGCTTCAATTATGTTGTTTCCCCCCTCTTGGTAATTATACTACTTGATCTTGAGTTGGTTTCAGCTTCTAATATGAACCAATCGAATCTACAGCAATTGAGAAAACTTTGTCTTATAAGCTGGAAGATGCACGCAACTTTATTCAGCAGAGGATTGTGAAAGCCCTTAGAGAATATCGAAATCTCTATGCTGTGCAGCATCGCTTGGGTGGCAGGATGATATACCCGGAGTCATTGCAATTCTTGCTTTTGTATGGATTAGCACTATACAAATCCGTACCACTCCGTGGGGGATATGCTGATGCTCAGCTTGATGAACGCTGTGCAGCTGGTTACACTATGATGACTCTACCTGTTGCAGCACTATTGAAGCTTCTCTATCCTAGGTTGATTCGGATTGATGAATACCTTCAAAATGTAAGGAAGTAAGACTTGTTTTATTTTCTCTTACAATTATTTTAAATGCTAAATTCTGTGGACTATAACTATGTTTCTTATTTGCAGGCGTCCATGAAGATTGATGATTTTGGAAAATTTTCAAAATCATTACCATTAGCCATGCAAAGCTTAGATTCCAGGGGTCTATATATTTATGATGATGGGTTTCGCTTCATTTTGTGGTTTGGGAAAATGCTTTCTTCTGATATTGCTGTTAATTTACTTGGAATGGACTTGTCTACTTTTCCTGACCCATCCAAGGTTTGATTTTTGATTTCTGAGTTTTAGTGCTTCAAGATTATTGATTTCATATAAGGTCATTGGTTTACTTATATTGTTTTTAAGTTCTTATTCATTATCTATGCTGAATGTTGAGAATGAATTTTGTGGTCCCCCAGCATGCTAGACTTTCCCCTAATTGGATTTGAACAAGAAATAATTGAATTTTTTGATTACTTTTGGAAGGTGTTGATTTGCACATACCCCATGTAAACCAGAACATCTTTAAATTGATTGCTAATAAATTATTCTTTTAAGAAATAAAGCATCACTGTTTTTAACCTATATCACTATTAATAGGGGTATCTTTTTGTTTTCACCTAGAATTTGCCCAATTTATGGAAAATAAGGTTTTCCTGCTGCTAATGCTTCTGCTAGAACTTTGATTGCTTGGCCAATGGCATCTGCCTAGTCCTAATCTAATTAAATTAAATTTGGATGGCTGCAGTTTGGGAAACCAAGTTCCTTGTCCATCATTTTAGCTTTGTACTCAGGACCTATAGGTCATGAAAGCTCATTAAGGGTTGAACTGCTTGTGGTGGTTCAAGGGCTGTAATTGGTGAGATCTCCCAACATTTGCTCTTTGATGGTGAAAGGGGACTTGAGTAATAGTGGGTTGGCTAAAGGAAAATAGTAGAGGTCCATGTTGATGCAAATATCAAAGCAAGGAAAGAATCCATGGAGAAACAAATCAGTTTTTCCATTCCCATACCAATTTTAGAATTGTTGGTTTATGGATATTGATATCGTTTCAGTTTTTTCTTTTCCTAGTCACGTGCCTTGAGAAGATGATATTGAGTTTTCCTGAAATTTACTATTATTTTGAAATTACTGTGGCGACTTTTTAACTTACTTTTTATAGTAAATCTCTGTCTTTGCTTTAAGCTAGTCTTAGTAGGATTAGTAATGAAATTTACTATTATTTTGAAATTACTGTGGTGACTTTTTAACTTACTTTTTATAGTAAATCTCTGCCTTTGCTTTAAGCTAGTCTTAGTAGGATTAGTAATGA